TAGTGGTCCTTAAACCCATGCTTTAGGACATCCATCTTCTGGACTCTTTTATAATGCCCTATAATGAGGTACCTATGACACAGAGAGGTACTCAAGTGGGAGTTTTTATTCACTCATCCAAAATAATATAACAAAACAAAAACCACCATTCACAAGATCAAGGAACAATATACATAATGTAATAACACAGTATTGTTTGATACTGGTAAATTAAACTGTATGTACTAAAAACGTATTAAAGATAAAGGCCTTCAATAATATGTCTGCACATTCCAGATGGAATGAACCAAACTCAGTAATGAGACAAAGAAATACCAATAGTACAGGACGCTAAAAATTTTAATGAAAGGCACATTTATTATACATAACTTGAAAGCTACAGAGCAAAAGCATACAAACTTTCACCTCTCCTAGTAAGCATAGGCATATTTATGTATTATTATAAATAAAATGTACTGTGGTTTAAATGTTGTATATACTAGATTTAAATAGGAATTCAGACCAAAGTGCAATTCAAACAAATTCAGGTGATTGGTCAAAATTTTAATTTCAAAGCCATCATGTACCAGAATTTCAGCAAACACATTGTTCAGTTTGGTACTTGCTTTTCAGTGCCATTCCTGGCACTGGCCATAAAAAGGGGAATTAAAAGGAGACAAGGCATTTTTTTGTTTGGAAAAGTATGGAGAGGGCTTGGAATGGCTCATGATCTGAACTATACAACAACATCTTTACACAAAGTGGAGGCAGTGTGATGGCATGGGCATGCATGGCTCCCAATTGTATTGTGTCACTAGTGTTTATTCATGGTGTGATGCTATAGAAGGAAGTAAGGATCCCCTAGTTCCCCGTGTCCCCAGCCAAAAATAGAGTACCAGTTCTGTCTTAAGGTTTACCTAAGATGGACTGTGGCAGCCATTTAACTTATTAAGGAAAATTAGGTAGGCTTTAATCCTTCTGTAGCTGAAGCATTTGAGCAGGCAGTTGCTTTTTAAACTGATTACCACAATTTTGGATATATAGGCTGTTCGAGTTATGTGAAGAAGCTGCAGGGCCAATGAACCCATGGTCTAGCTGGGAGTTCCGATAATAAAAATGAGCTGATATCTTGGTGAAGTAATAAGATTAACAGAGGCTTTGTAGGGTCGGCAACCACGACTTCCTATCGATTCTACATGAAAACTGCCTGTTAATCATAAGGAATTGCAGAAAAACCCTTAAGAACTTATTACTGCATATTAAACTATATAAGTAAGCAATACAATTAAAGAAATAGTCAAACCGATGATAAACAACATGTATTCTTATAACAAAAAACAAATATTCTTCATATAAGTCAAGCACACATGTAATTTAAATGAACAATTCTCATTGAACCTGAGCAGAATTGAACCTTAAAAATGACCTAGACATATATCTGTCATAGCACAAATTCACTGTTTAAAACATTGTATATACTGTCACTGTCTCCTGATAATACCAATCATGGGATGAAGTATGAATGTTCACGGTCAGGGCCGTCTTTAACGCGGGGCAAACGGGGCAGCTGCCCCGGGCCCAGTTGTTCATGGGGGCCCAGAGCAGCTGCTCTGTGGGCCCCGCGATTTGCGGCTCCCGCACACTGAGGAGGCTCCCCGGGTGGCCCATGCACTAAGGGCCACCCGGGGAGCATGTGTCAGGAGGGGCCCGGTCGGGCGCTGTGGCGCTTAAACAGCTCGACCGGGCCCCTCTTCCGGTTCTGCAGCCGGCTGGGAGGAAGTGACGTCACTTCCTCCCACCGGAGATAGCCGCGCGGGAGGAGGAAGGCAGGGAGGAGGGGAGTTCAAGAAGAGAACTCCCATCTGCCTCAGCCTGCCACTGGACCAGGGAAACCACCCTCCAGGAAAAGGTAAGAACCTGGAGGGTGGCTAAATGTATGTCAGTAGGTCTGTGTGTGTGTGTATGTCTGTGTGTGTGTCAGTATGTCTGTGTGTGTTTGTCAGTGTGTGTGTCAGTGTGTATGTCAGTGTGTATGTATGTCAGTGTGTGTGTGTCAGTATGTCTGTGTGTGTGTATGTAGGTATGTCTCTGTGTGTGTGTGTGTGTATGTGTGTGTCAGTATGTCTGCCAGGATATATTTGTGTGTCAGTGTATGTGTGTGTCAGTATGTATCTGTGAATGTTTTAATGTCTGTCTGTGTGTATGTGCCAGTCTGTCTGTGTGTATGCCAGTATGTCTGTGTGTGTGTGTGTGTGTCAGTATGTCTGTGTGTATGCCAGTATGTCTGTGTGTGTATGTGTGTGTGTCAGTATGTCTGTGTGTGTATGCCAGTATGTCTGTGTGTGTGTGTATGCCAGTATGTCTGTGTGTGTATGTCAGTGTGTGTGTGTCAGTATGTCTGTGTGTATACCAGTATGTCTGTGTGTGTGTATGTAGGTATGTCTCTGTGTGTGTGTGTGTACGTGTGTGTCAGTATGTCTGCCAGGATATATTTGTGTGTCAGTATGTATCTGTGAATGTTTTAATGTCTGTCTGTGTGTATGTGCCAGTACGTCTGTCTGTGTGTATGTCAGTATGTCTGTATGTGTGTGTCAGTATGTCTGTGTGTGTATGTAAGTATGTCTGTGTGTGTATGTAAGTATGTCTGTGTGTGTATGTGTGTGTCAGTCAGTATGTCTGTCAGTGTATGTGTCTGTGTGTGTATGTATGTATGTCTGTGTGTGTGTGTGTGTGTGTGTGTGTCAGTATGTCTGCCAGGATATATTTGTATGTCAGCGTATGTGTGTGTCAGTATATATCTGTGAATGTTTAATGTCTGTCTGTATCAGCCATTACGTCTGTCTGTGTATATGTCAGTATGCCTGTGTGTGTGTATATATGTCATTATGCCTGTGTGTGTGTCAATGTGTCTGTCAGTGTATGTGTCTGTGTGTTTTAGTATATCTGTCAGTGTATGTGTTTGTGTGTGTGTCAGTATATCTGTTAATGTATGTGTCTGTGTATGCATGTATGTATGTCTGTGTGTGTGTCAGTATGTCTGCCAGTATATATTTGTGTGTAGTGACTGTGTGTGTCAGTATGTATCTGTGAATGTTTTAATGTCTGTGTGTGTATGTGCCAGTACGTCTGTCAGTGTGATTGCGGGTTGGACGTAATTGGGGGGTGAGGCAGTGGCAGGGACAGGGCCCATGGGGCCCAAGAAAATGCATTGCCCAGGGTCCTAATCATATTATAGACGGCCCTGTTCACGGTAAGTCATTTTTACCATCAAGTTGTAGTTGATATGCTGACAACTTACACAGCATGTCTTTCTGTGCTTTACTAGCAAGTGGGTAATCTGCAGGTGTTTGATATCTTTGCTAACATACATTATTGGCTTGTGGCAGTTTTTACTGACAAGGTTGGAAATTATCCCTTATGTATGTAGAAGCATTGCTCCTCTAAAATATGGGGAACCACAACGAATGTGAAGTGCTGAATAAAAGAGTGTGCAGTGTATACCCTTTTAAACCAGAAATGCCAAAATTGTTTAATAGAATATAATATGGTGCTGATCATAGCTGATAAAACCTATGAATACTACTAATGAATGACATTTGACAATGATGTCCATGAACGACATTTTTATGCTATTAGTGTGCCAGCAATAGCTGGAGCACGTTCTGTGCAAAGTGTGTGTGAAATAGCCGAATATGATCAAGAATATTGGAGTACACAATGTGAATGTGAAACAGTGTGTGTGTGTATGTGTGTGTAGGAAGAATGAAAGTGGTAGGTTATTTTAGGTTTACTAACTTGTTAATCACTGTAATTAATGCATGGCATAATGCCTTTCTTTTAGAGACACAGTAATTAGCTAAAATATCAGAATATTTAGATATTCCCTGTATTTATTATATGATAGAATTTGATGACAATTGTGTGAAGTTTGTTTTTTAAGTGGGTTTGTATATTCTTGAACCTTTTTCAAATACATGTTGTTAAGCTTTATTTTGCTTCATTACAGCCATAACAATCAGAACTGTTTGATGGTTTGATATTGAGCTTGCACTTAACCTTGTCATTGAGATTTCCTATTATGTGAAAATTAAAGCATATTTTTGTCATCTGGTGATTTTTTACATTATCTTGTGTAGATGTTCTCAAATGTGCCCTTTATCAGAGTGGGAGGGATACATTTTTTCTCTATCGAAGTGATTTTTATAACTGGGAAACATTATTTTTAGTTATCTGGACATTCTACCAAATGTACAATTTAATTTTATCTATTTTGGCGGAGAAACAGAATGTAAGTCCCTACAAGAGATCAGAAATTTAAGATGTTCAACAACTTATCCAGAGATAGGTTTATAACTCCCAGATGGCCTGTCTTTTCTTTTTGGTTGACAGCATACGTCTGTTTAGATTAGTTATGTGAGGTTTCTCTTTCCAGATTTCTGTGATATTTCCTGATAGCAGAGTTCATAGGTAGTAGATCAGTTTAATGTACCTTATGTTGTGTCTATGTCTTTCTGTTATAATGGAAGACAGATTTGGAACTCTTCAATTTTTACATTATGGATACTTATATTTGTTTCCTACTCATAACTTGAGTTTGCTTCCTCTTATCCATCCACTTATATATTATAAACAGCTGAGAAGGACACCTTCAAGCTTGTTATTGCATCTCTCGGGTCAGTATTCCTTTCTATTCAATAAATAATTGTGCAGCAGAGGCATATTAAAAAACTATAATAGGCTTTACACAAGGACTATAACATTGGTGTGACAAGCAAAAAAAGTTTACCGGCGCACTATTTCTTATCCCCATGCACATTTCAACAACAGGAGGCTTTTAATATCACTCCAATGACAATTTAAGTATATGCTAATCTGCCCCATCAAGACAAACCTCTTAGGTGAGTCCTACACTAACAATGCATCTTGCTACTTTCAGCTTAAAGACAAAATCTCTAATTTGACAGCAAGATATATTTTTATAAACCCCTACACACTTATTAAACTTAATCGGGTGAATAAAGGGTCCACAGCACTGTAACATGGCAGCGTAATACAAAGCAAAATACAAATATACAAAATTAAACCAAACTCTAGAATATTGGTCTGACAAGGACCACGAATGTAATTACCTTCTGATTCAGATATTCACTTAAATAATGGTTAACTCGTTTTGCATTTGGAAGGTATGAAATAACATCTATTTATCTATCTTGTTTCTTTTTTTAAATATGTCACAAATTATTTTTGACAATGATCATGTGCAAGAGAATGTTGACAATCACCATTGTTATTGTTTGTATGTGTGACAGTAGATATCAACTGATGGATTATAAGTAGACAGAGACGGTTAGAAAATTCTTGACTTTTGGTTTCAACAAAATCCTAAACTATCGATCATCTTATAGACTGTGGATCACCTTGTAAAGCATGCCAGAAATACTTTCTTATCAAATGTCTCAGCCCTAACAGCACTAAGTGAGCCGCTTTTAATTCACAACCTGGCTGCAGACAGTCAGATATACTATAACAAAGTAATGATATCCTTGCTAAATATCTCCCTGGGTGGCCTCTGCTTCTAAAACAGGTTGATTTGTAGTTCAGATAATTCAGTGATGTCAGTGACTGAGCTGTGTGCATACATTTGATAAATATATAGTTTTCTGGAGTTGGGGGGGTGGCTAAAGAGTCAGGCATATGGTGCAGCATTCTGCAAAATATTTATTTTAATGTAAAACTATAAAGATTTGAGTATGCAAAAAAAAATACTGCATTCTGAACTGCATTAAAGTTGTATTGGTGCCCAGAGTTTATCAATACATAAGAAGTGACTACCTGAGGGGAAAAAAAGGATAAGCAGTGACAAAAATGCATATTAATATATAATATCAATACAGTAAATATATGCTATATATTTTTAAGATTTAATTAGGGGCAAACTGCAAGTCAGACAAATATGGGCCGATTGGGTAATCAGACAAATTCTGGTTTCTGAGCTGTCATGAGCCAGAATGTCAGGAGAACTGACTTGAACAAGCCCACACATGTTTGGTTCAGTTCTTGATTTAGAGTGCAGTTAGAACGAAATTACACATATATATATATATATATATATATATATATATATATATATATATATATTTTTTTTTTTTTTAATTTATTTATTTTTTCTTATTTTTTTAAACGTATTTACATATTTATTTATTTTATATTACCACTGAAGTAGCCACTGAAGTAGCCTGGTTGGAGCCTGGTTGTGGGAGACCGACTGTCTCCCCTCTGGATACACTGCTCTGTGGCTGGGGGACAGGACCGACCATCTCTACCCCTAGAGCTCCAAGTGCAGAGACTATGGTACCATCTGCATAGTTGTGGGGCTTAACATCTCCCCTTGGTGGGTTAGGCTGCCACTGGAGAGAGGGTGTAACAAGCTCCTCTCTCTGAACTGTAGACTGCCGCTGGGGAGAGGGGGTAACCTGCTCCTCTCCCTGACACTCTCTTTGCTGGTGGAGAAGGGGACCAACTGTGTCCCCTTTCAATATTTTGTCCTGCGGCTGGGGTGCGAGACAGACGGTCTCTGCTTCCTGGGGTACACACTGCCGCTGGGGAGGAAGGACGGCACCTTCTGCTCCCTGGGGTACACACTGCCGCTGGGGAGGAAGGACAACACCATTGGCTCCCTGGGATACACACTGCCGCTGGGGAGGAAGGACGGCACCTTTGGCTCCCTGGGACACACACTGCCGCTGGGGGGGAAGGACTGCACCTTCAGCTCCCTGGGATACACACTGCCGCTGGGGAGGAAGGACGACACCTTCAGCTCCCTGGGGTACACACTGCCGCTGGGGAGGAAGGATGGCACCTTCAGCTCCCTGGGACACACACTGCCGCTGGGGAGGAAGGATGACACCTTCAGCTCCCTGGGATACACACTGCCGCTGGGGAGGAAGGACGGCACCTTCAGCTCCCTGGGACACACACTGCCGCTGGGGAGGAAGGACGACACCTTCAGCTCCCTGGGATACACACTGCCACTGGGGAGGAAGGACGGCACCTTCAGCTCCCTGGGACACACACTGCCGCTGGGGAGGAAGGACGACACCTTTGGCTCCCTGGGACTCACACTGCCGCTGGGGAGAAAGGACAACACCTTCTGCTCCCTGGGGTACACACTGCCACTGGGGAGGAAGGACGACACCTTTGGCTCCCTGGGATACACACTGCCGCTGGGGAGGAAAGACGGCACCTTCTGCTCCCTGGGGTACACACTGCCGCTGGGGAGGAAGGACGACACCTTCAGCTCCCTGGGATACACACTGCCGCTGGGGAGGAAAGACAGCACCTTCTGCTCCC